GCTTGCCAGCTTCTGCAGCTGTGTGACTTGGGAGAGGCCTCTACCCTGATCCACGGATTGGGACGTTCTAGCCTCTACAATCACATGAACTGTTTCCTTGATATAATCTCTCTCTATATATATATTTATACAGTTTACTGGTTTTGCTTCTCTAGAGAACCCAGCCTAAGACATTTGGTACCAAGAGTGGGGTGCTGCTCTAATAGATACCTAAAATGTGGAAACGGTTGTGAAACTGTGAATGAATAGAGGTGCGGCAGCAGCAGATGACCAGCAGCAGCAGAGAACATGCAGCAGCAGAGAAGGGGCAGCGGCAGAGAACCAGCAGCAGCAGAACCAGGAGACCAGCACGAGACAGCGCTGGAGCTGACCACAGAGCAAGAGAGCTGAGTGCCTGTGTGCTGGAGGCTTCCTGGTGGAGTTGGGTGCCTCTGGGCACTTATCGGTGGAGCTACCGAGTTTTGGAACACTTGCCCCAGCAAGGCAGATGTGGACATGAGGCCAGAGGGCCGAGAGGCCACAGGAAACAGAAGCTGAAGAGGCAAGGAACACAAGAAGCCAAGCTGCCTCAGTCTCAAAATGTATGGCCAGGACCTCTGGGGTTTCAAAGGGTGAAACCATGGCCTCTGGTATTTCTAAGGTTGGAGTCGTCACTCTGATGGACTAGAAGAATGGTGTGCCTAAAGCCAAGGGAGCAGAGTTGCCGTCCCAGTGGGCCTGGAAGGCGGAGCTGAAGCCCAGGGCTGAGGGGCCTCCACTCAGAATCCGGAGACTGTGGCTAATACCTAGAGTCTGCAGGGCAGGGCTATTGTGTAAATTGTCTCAGAGAACAGAAGATTATTTTCAAAGCCTTGAGGGCTAATGTAATGTGTTCTGCTGACTTGCTTGGGGCCTGTTATCCCTTCTCCTTCAATTTCTCCCATTTGTAATGGAAATGTCTAGCTTGTGCCTATTCTGCCATTGTACGTTTGGAAGCACATAACTTGTATTCTAGATTTCACAGATGAAGAGGAATTTTTGGATTTTGGACTTGGAGTTGATTTAAGACTTTTGTTATGATATGATGGGGTGAATATGTTTTACATGTGGCAAGGACATGAATTTTTGGGGGCCAAAGGGTGGAGTATATGGATTGAATTGTGTCCCCCAAAAATATCTGTCAACTTGGCTAGGTCATGACTCCCAGTATTGTATGATTGTGTAATCTGATGTGATTTCCTTATGTGTTGTAAACTCTATCACTATGATGAGGTTATACTGATGAGGTATACACGATTGGATTGTGTCTTAATCCAATCTCGTTTGAGATATAAAAGACAGAAGCGAACAGAGACGCATGAGAACCTCACACCACCAAGAAAGCAGTGCCAGGAGCAGAGTGCATCCTTTGGACCTGAGGTTCCTGTGCAGAGAAGCTTCCAGACCAAGGGAAGATTGATGACATGGACCTTCTTCCAGAGTTGACAGAGGAAGCATTCCCTTGGAATTATGCCTGAATTTGGACTTGTAGCCTACTGGACTGTGAGAGAATAAACTTCTCTTTGTTAAAACCACCCACTTGTGGTATTTCTGTTAGAGCAGCGCTAGATGACCAAGACACTTGCTAAGACAATGCTACAACTTTCCTAGGTCAGATCAAAATTATTCCTTTGAATAACACTTTAAATCCATGACCTGAGTAAGTTCTGACTATAATCTCCAAATAAATGATACTAATATCTGTGACTGATTAGCTCCATTAATTAGCAAGAACAGTTGCAATGGCATAAATATCACAGTTGATTCTAATATTTTTAAGTTTACAAACCTATTGTTTGCTACATAATTCTACTGAAAAATTATAAGCAATCATACAAATTCATAATTACTAAGGGAAAGGGAAATAAATTTAAGCTACAACATTTGCTAAGTATCTGATATGTGCCTTGAATCTCTGGAATTCAGCAAAGTGACTGGAAGATTATCAAGTACCATTTTTGTTGAAGTTATTGGAGATGCAAAGTTACAACACACAGTCTCTTCTCTTGAGGACCTTACCAGACACTTGCCAAAATCAACTTATGAACAGATAAATTAGGCAGAAACAGATTAAACAGAAGCAAATCACTCCCAAAGATAGAAACGAAGTGTTAAGGACACTGGAGGATGTAGGAAAAAAAAAAAGCTTTACTTAGGAGCTAACATGGGGCTGGGTCCTCAAATGATAAGTAGAAATTGCCAGGTAAAAAGGGAAACAAGATATCACATTCCAGTTAGAGAGAAAGCATGTTTGAAGATACATATATTCCAGCAGTGAGAAGTTCCATATGATAGAAAGTGGATGCGTGGAAGGGAGTACTGTTAAAAAAAAAAGTATGTTGTTGTTGTTAGGTGCCATCAAGTCGATTTTCAACTCATAGAAGACCCATGTGACAGAGTAGAACTGACCCATAGGGTTTCCTAGGCTGTAATCTTTACGAGAGCAGATAGCCAGGTCTTTTCTCCTGCGGAGCAGCTGGTATGTTTGAACCACTGACATTTCGGTTAGCAGCAGAGCACTTAATCATTGCATCACAAGGGCCCATTAAAAATAAAAACAAACAAAACAAACAACAATAACAATATACTGAGCCAAAATGTAAGGGTCTTCACACACCAATTAAGGAGTTCAGATTTTATCCTATAGACCAATAGTCCTCAAATTTAGGTGTGCATCAGAATCACTCAAAAGGCTTAGGCCCTATCCCCAGAGTTTCTGGTCAACTTGTAGCTAGAAAGGAAGAACTTAGGGTGGACTCAAAGACTTTAGCTTGAGAGACAGGATAAATTATGATGTCTTCAATGTGAGAAAGATTGGAGGCAGCAGTAGATCTGATGGGAGAGACCCCACTAAATTTCGTTTTAAACTTAGAAATCTTGAAATGTTTTATGACATCAGGTGGAGATGGTCATTGAAAAGCTGAAGGTAGATAAGGCAGATCTGGAACTCAGGAGGGAAGTTAGAAGTAAAGACTATGATTTAAGAGCAAAAAGCACAGAAATGATTGTTTAAGTCATAGCCATGGATGAAATCCCTCAGGGCTGCAGAATAAGAAAAGAAGATAACCAAGGACCAAAATGTGGGGAACAATATTATTTATGGGATGTGCAGAAAAACAGTCATTAAGAGAAACAGGGAAAGGAAATCATAACTTTCAGAGATGTAAGAGGAGAACTAAGGTAGCATGGCTTCTAAAAACAAGAGATGGAAGAATTTCAGGATAGACTGTGGTCAACTGTATCAAATGGTTTACCGATAGTTGGCAAGTAGCTTCAATTTTTGATGTAAAAGGCTACAGGACCATTTAGCCCATTAACTTGTATTCTGGTAAGTCCATGGAGCTGGGAACAGTAGTAGAGTGCTGTATAGTATGTTTTTGTTAGTAGACATTGCGTGAATGTCGACTCATGGTGACCCTATGTGTACAGAGTAGAACAGCTCCGTAGCACTGGCGTCACTAGGGTGTGTAGGGGGTGTGAACCTCACTGGGTGACACTGTCAGAGGAGGTGACACCAAAATGACTGTCTATAAAATCTTTATGCAATGTTTCAGCAGAAATTTCTTATTTTTTATAAAAATATCCCTGTAGTTAGTTACAACAACAAAAATATTTTTTGTAAGCCCAGCTGACGTGTATCAGTATACCTACAAGGCTAAACCTCTAGGCTAATTTACTTTTTGAACCTTCTAACGCGCTCCCGTCAGAGCTGTCATTATCACCCAATTACAATGACGCTTTGAATCTTGTGGTTTCGTCAGCACGTGCTGCAAGTACTCTGTTGTTTTCGTTGCTGCCGGTGTTTTTATAGTTGCTGATTTTGTCAAATTTTCTGGTGTTTTAGCTACAATATTGTGGTAAGTAGTATTTGTGAACCTATATCAATATTGTGGTAAGTAGTATTTGTGAACCTATATCAATAACATTTTTGAGAATGAAGTAGTAATAACGGAAAAGGAGAAAAGTAAAAGGCTTCTGCTTAGTTACTAATAAGGTTGTAACTAATAACGTTGTAATTCAATGTAGAAAGATTTTACTAAGCAATTTTGTTGTTACTATTCATATAATCTAATAAATATTACATTTAAGCAATTTACAACTCTGTCACATATTATTCTATGATTAAAATTGATAATAAACATTACTAAGGATTCTGTATGGTCCAGTACAGGAGGAGGTCCATGGGGGGAGAGGGGACAAACAGCACTGGGTGAGACCAACCTTAGTGATGCTACTGCTCCACAGGGTTTTCTTGCATGTGACCTTTTGGAAGGAGATCGTTAGGCCTGTGTCCCGATGTGCCTGTGGGTGGGTTTGAACCACCAACCTTTCGTATAATATTTAACCACTCAGGGACTTGCTTTATAGTGTAGCAAACTGTAATTACAAATTTTATTAATACAATGTTTACATGTGGAAGCTGAAGCTTAGAGAGCTCCAATGACTTCCCCTCAGCATACAGCTATGGCAGAATTAGCACTAAATGGAGTCCTCTGACTTTTTGCTAAACAACTCCCAGGAAGTATTAAGACAAAACCCAAAACACTAATAAATGGATGCTAATCAAGGTCTCAATTTTTCTCTTACCATCTGTGAAACAGGCCTCTGGCTCGTCTGAATTTATGGGTTCAGCCTCTGCTTCTTCTCCTTCTCCTGGCACTGGGTTATCAACTGTGCTGCACTCAGACGAACTCGATTGGTTCAATCTCTAAAAAGGAATTCACCACCCCACCAAATAGTTCCTTTAGCATTCATTCAAATCCAATGTTTAAGCCAGACTTAATGATCAAAGTCATGCAAAGTGTTATGAAAACAGATTAACAGTATGATGGCCATAAACACGTATAAACACACATTAAGATCAAGTAACCTTACAATGTACCTATACTTGATCTTTCTATCTACACATCCTGTGGAAATACATTTTATTGTTTTTATTATGCTAACAAGTAAGGATTTGGAGAAATTGGCATTAGGTAACATTTTAATGTTAACTTTCATATTTGCAAAGTATTAGCCACATTTTTATTATTATGTTTTATATTTACTATAAAGTTATGTACAACAACAATTATTATTTTAGGACAACCAAGACCCAAACAGCAATAACATACAAGTGCCAAATTGCCAATGCCTGTTAATTGAAAGGTGAGGTCTGACAACTAGCAGAAAATGATTATTGATACGAAAGATTAAAGAAAAAAATCAGTGTAAGATGAACTGCAAACATATTTTTACTATTCTCTCTTCAATTTATAACCATGTAGCAGGATGATATAGATAGAAGGTGTTCCACCAAGACAAAAAAAGAGTTAAATGTTGTATTGGAATCGAAATGCCAAAGACCAACCGTCATCAGGGAACTGAAAGACAAAGCACTATGATTCTTTAGAAGTGAGACCAAGTCCTTAAATTCTGAAAACAGAAGTATTGGCCTGGATTTTGAGGCAAAGCAATGGGAGGAATTGCTGATGGAAGAAATAAAAGCACCTCACTGCTATCAGCCAAAATATCAACAACTAGCAAATAGTTACAATGGTTTTCTCTGCTGGACACAACTTGTACATAAAATGATTTTTATTTGCAGAATTCTGACTTAGGCGAAATTAATTAAAACATCTTTAACACCAATATTTGGTTTTCTCCCCTGCTTGAAAAAGCATTTCAAAGAAGATTTACGCCAAGTTAATTTATAATCAAGTAAAAATTGAGGTCATTTTATTCAGTGTATCCTGCTACTGAAATTTTTTTTCATAGTCAGCTTTTATGCCTGTCATTTTTGTTAATTATACTCATTCTGCTCAGATTTTATATCATCAATTATAATTATTCAATATTACTGCTCACTGGTACAGAAATTATCAAAATGTTTGATATGAATCACAATTAACGTGTATCACAGGTCAAATTATTGTTGACAATAGAGTTTTAGAAATTCATTGTTTTACAGTATTTACACAGTAACTATTTCAGTACCTTATATAAAGTTAAAGATTTATGAACATGTCCTGGAAATATAGACAGTTGAGGTCTGATTCATCCTTATCCTTTTATTTATATACTTGTTAAAACAGAAGTATCTTTCACAGGGTCCTAAAAGATTATCTTAAATAGAAAGGCCAACATCTGTAACATAAGTTTGTTCTTAAGGGGAAATACATTAAATTTTCATATCAAGCATTGCTCAATTTAACTGTTGAATCTCTTTTATTCTCTTCTACTATAGAGAGGATCAGGCCAATCATTTATATTGTTGTGGATAATTAATTTTATAACTTTTCATTTCTATAAACTCAATCATTTATTTAGTTTCCCTTTCTTATAATTTGGGAAGTAGAAGAATGACTATACTATACTGAGTACTGAAATAAATTAGTATGAAAAATGTCCCTTTTGATATTATAAATGTGTTTCCGTAATTTTCACATGGATATGATTTTAATAAAAAGTAAATATCTGTCACTTATGTGCTTGTCAGCAAAGATAATTATCTTTGGCAGTCTATATATATAAATAAAAATAAAAATTACTAAAAATAAATGCAAATATAGGATCATAGAGGTAGACTTGCTAGTATAAGGGATAGGAAGCATGCCATAGTTAGCATTCTTGCCTTTTTTTGAATAATATGATGACAATAGGTACCTTCTAAAATTCTCCATTTCTTTTTTTTCCCCTAAGATAAAAGTGATATAATTGATTCAAAAAATCTAAATGTACAATAGTATATATAGTGGGAAAAAAAAAGTCTTACACTATCTTCCTGATTCTACTCCATAGAGGTAACTACTGTACAGTAATTTTTGCATATCTTTCCAAATTCTTTAACGTGCATCCATAAAACACTATATTTCTGAAACATTATTTTGATTGTAAACCTATGTAGTTACTTAAGAAGTCCCTTCATCATTACTAAAAACATAATCAAAGCAAATACTTTATTATTCCTTACGGTTCTTTTGATTGCTTTGAAGATATATTTTTCTACAACACTGCATGGGAGCAGAGACTGTGTTTTTGATGTGTTAAATACAGCTGTCACATTTAGAACCTACCCTAAGATGGTCACTTATGAATTTATTACCAACATGTCCTGAGATAGCCATTAACATTGTAAGGCTCTTTCATGCTAGTATGGATGGTAATTAGTGCTAGTTGGTCATTCCTAGTCTTGAGAGGTATAAAGTAGGATTGTCTAAAAACTTGATATGCTGGCACTCAACAGATGAATATCATCAAACTGTAGAAAACATCAATTCAACAAAAATCTCCCTCAAAGAGATGGTTGGCTTTGAAACATCCAGAGATGTGACATTTAAAAAATATATTCTAAGACTGTTTGCTTCACACATCGAAGCTCAATAAGCAAGAAAGTCATTTTTTTATTATATTCAAATTAATATCATCCATCTTTAAATTTTATAGCATAATTTTATCCATCATCCATAATGATGATCTAAAATTATTAAGAGTAAAATAGTAATGTTCAGAGTAAAGGATCAAAGGATCTTTAGAGACGAATTCCACAGACAGCTACTGTGCTTTGTGTGAGTACTTTTACTGGGCAAGAGTCCAATGTCTCTAAGTTTACCATTCCACTATGAAATAATTTGATTTTAAAATGTTCTATTCTGGTGTAGAATGCAAATATGCTTTCCTTTCCCTTGCAATAGTTAGGACATTATTTCTGCCTTCTGGAGAACTGCAAATACTCTTCTTACTGCCTGTTATTTATTGGAGATCGTCTATAATATTATCAGTTGTGTTTTTCATCTTGTGTGTAATCATACTTAATTCCTTTATATGATTTAGTGTCTAGGCTGCTAAGGGTCTTTCCTATCCTTTTCTCTCTCAATTTTGTCAAGATTCCTTTTAAAAGATAATGCCCCAAATTGAAAAAACTACTCCAGATATCCTTAATCTTTGAAAAAGTCAATAGTATTTCTCCCTGTGTTATCTGGGTTTTCAAGTTACTTTTACTAATTTACAGAAAATTTTCAGTTTAGTTACTAGTTGTAATATACTCTTGGCTCACATTACAGTTAAAGTAACTAAAATTCTAGCTCTAATTCAAATAAAGGACCAGAAAACTAAGCTTTTCCTTCCTAGTGTTCTTTGTTTATTGCTACGAAAGAAATATCCTGTAAGCTCTTTATGAACAGCTGCTCATTCAGCAGGACATCCGCTTAACAGTTCCATCACAGCATCAGCGTGTTGAAGAAATAATGAGGTCAAATCTCAGCCACCGCCAAGGAAATTCAAAATAATTCAAGAGTGTCGCTGAGAGTTCTTAATATTACAAGAATCTTCTACCTAGTGCACTTTATATCCAACAATATAACAGTTTAGGTAACTGGAAGATAAGATCTTGAATATAAAAACAAAGTTTTACCACAAGTGTTCACAGAAGAGTGATGGACTGACTCTAGCTTTCTCAGCCAAATTCTACGGTATCAACCTGGACTTGCATTCCAATGAAAAGGCAAGATCTTGAACTATAAACTGCCCACATTTGAGGGCTTCGTGCACTAACACAAGAACTGCTATGCTATTTGCAAAGAATGGGTATTTAAGCAGCTGGAATACAGTGGGTCATATGAAAAGAGATGTCTTAAAATCTTTAGAAATAAACAGTTCTACTACTGAAGCCTGCTAGAAAATTCCAACAATTGGGGTAAACAAGCACTGGAACATAAATAAACATGAAGGCAAAATGTGAGATAAAAATGTAGACTCTAAGACTTAAATTTGTTAAATATAGCATAATTAATTTAGAATAAAACCTAGAATGACAGACAAAAAAATAACTCTAAATACTTGTACATTTAAATGATTTCTCCTATTACCTAAAATTATCCATGAAGAGGAAGGGCAAGGAAAGAAAAAGTCCAATGAATGGAACAATTACCATTAAAAAAAAGTGAATAATATTGCAAAACAATGTAAAATAATAATTGACATGAATAAAACATATCATTCTTATCCTCTATATATGGAGCTTCTACTAAATATACATAAGTCTAAAATCCTTAAAGGACAAATTTGCTGTTAATATATTAAAAAAATTCCCATATTTTCAAGTAATTCTCCATAAACGAAATATTCAGAGTTTTTAGTTTATTTGGAGAATGAACATTTTATAACATGCATCTCATGTTTCTAAGAGTAGTTGGTATAAAGCATTAGTAATAATAATTTAGGAGTCCAAAACTGTTTGTGGTGTCCGTGCATGTGTGTATGTGTGTGTGTGTATAATTTCTGGAAACAGTTTTCTCAAAAATTGTGTGTTTTACTTATATATAGAGATACAGTTGTATATGTGTGCATCTTTATTTATGTTCCAGTTGCAGGAAATTTACCACATTCTGGAATAAAATTGTTTTCTAAGAGCATATTGCCTCAAAATCACCACCAATTTGAAATATAAAAATATAACTTCTACTTAGAAGCACTTTAAAATCAACTGTAAGTAAACTGGAATACTAATACCACTTCTTTCTTTTTTATCCATTTTATTATTATCCTAGAGTATGTCAATTTCAGGATAAAGTTTTGCTTTCATCATTCCACAATGGATAACAATAGTACAAACATCCCAACAATGAGAAAGAAATTAAAAATATGAACTGGATTATAAAAAAGGCAAGGTTTTTATTAATATGGATTCCCCCCACCCCAAGGAACTATTAGAGTTCAGTCATTCAACGA